GCTATGCCGGCTCGCTAATAGCTTTTAGTAGCTATAGAAGGCTGCGAGGCTATTGCCTTAGAAGGCTGGCCCTTCTAACCCTTCTGCTATACCTTATGAAAGACCCGTAGGTGCTCTCTAATTCGCCATAGCCTAGAGCTAATATAGAAGTAGCTAGGCTTAAAGGTATAGCGGAAGCCCTATTACATAGGCTCTCTAAGTTATGAGATAAGAGGGCCTAGAGGAATAGGCTTAGGTAGCCCTATAAGGTCCTTCTGGCCCTAAAGAAGATTAAGCTTAGTAGTTTACTCTAAGGTAGGCTTAATCTCTTAGAGGGAAAGCTAGTAAGGCTATTAGTAGAGGTATTATTAAATTTAATTAAAAAGAACTATGGTTTTATAGGTCTTATAAATTAAAAGGGAAAAAGCAGGGATATAAGTAAAATAATCTATAATAATAAGGCTTATAAGTAGCTAAAATATAGGTAAAGGTAGAGGTTAAAAGTAGATAGTTAGGAAAGGTTAGAGTCTTTATAGAAGAGTAAATAAAAGAGGAAAAATAGAGGTTAAAGCTTATTAGCTAAGGAATTACCTTAGCTATAGCTAGCGAGGTGGTTAGTATAGCTAGGTACCTAGGTTATAGCGGTAGTTAGGGAGTTTTAGCGTAGCGCTAGCTATATTAATTACCCTATTAAAATTTCTCTTAATTTTCTTTAAAAATTAATAATTAATTCTAAAAAAATACTATAGGAAAAGGGATTTTATTTTTAAACTCCTCATAGCTTAAGGTTATATATATTTCTTTTTATAACCTTAGCCTTAGTAGAATCCTCTTTTTTAAAAAATATCGGCTAGTTAAAGAAAAAAATATCGGCTGCCCTATAGTCTACTCGCATAAAAAATTTCCCCTATAGAAAAAAAATATTAGTAGCTTAGCCGACGTTTTTTATAGATAATAGGGATTTTTAATATATATATTTATTTAATATATATGCTTATTATATATATTATATATATAATAATTAAATTATAAAAAAATAATAATAAAGAAAAGTTAATTAAATTAAGTATTTAATATTTAATATATATAATAAACTTAGTTATAATATAAAGACTTATTAAGTAATAATTAAAATATATAGGGAAAAATATAATAAATAGTTTTAATTAATTAAATAATTTATAGTATTTTTATTATAATTTTTAATACAAAGGTTAGGATTTTTATTATATTTACTTATTTATTTTACTTACTTATTAAGTATATTAGTTTAACCTTAATTATTATTATTTTTATTATATATAATAAGTATATACTTTTTAAATAAAAAATTAATAATATCTTAAAAAAGTAATATTAATTTTAATATATATAATCTTTAGGTTTATATAATTAAAATAATAACTTATATAAATAGAGATTATTTTATAGAAAGAGAGTTAATAATAATAATAAATATAAAATATAATCTTAAAATTAAGAACTTTAATTTAAATAAAAAAATAACTTATCTTAGAAAGTTTATATAAAAAAAAACTTAATTAAATTTAATTTAATATTATATTATATAAGAAATAATTATTAATTAAAATTATTTACTTATAAATTTAATTATAAATAATAGCTCTAAGAATTAAATTAGAAAAAATAAGATTTTATATTATAATTATAATAAGATATAAATAAAAAAGCTTAATAAAATAACTATTAAGGCTAAATTAAAAAAATACTTATTTAGTCTTTTACTATAGGACTAATAAAATTAAAATTTAAGCTTAATAGTCTTATCTTAAATTAATAATTTAGAAATTTAATCCTAAAAAAGACTTTAGGTATATAAGATATATTTACTATACTCTTTTATATATTAATTACCTTAGCTATTAATATAACTTAATTAAACTTTAAATCCTTAAGTATCTTACTAGATATAACTTATAGAACCTATTTTAAATTATATATTATATTCCTCTATTCATCTAAACCTAGTATAACTAGTTTACCCCTTAAGTATTATATAATTATTATAAGAAGTAAAGGCAAAAATAGCTTTCTTAATATTATAAGAAATTATTAAGTAGATTTAAGGCCTAGTAAATGGTTTTTACTAACTTCCTGCCTCTAGGCATAGTCAGGTTTTTCCTAATAGTTGACAACTTTTATCCTAGCCGCCGGTTTCCTAACGGATCCTAAATCTGCATTCAGAGTGCATATCGATCCCCTGGTTGAAGTTGAGGTGCTGTAATAACAGGAATTGCTAGCGCCAATTCATGTAGAGAATGCAGAGGCTAGGAGAAAGGACAATAATTGAGCAGGGAGGCCCTGTTCCAAAGCTCTGCTCCCTGGAAACCACTCTTTTGGACATCTCTAATGAACAGATATAGTTCCCAGGTCTCAGCTTTGTATGTATTATGCTACATTCTTATGTTTTGCGCTGGATGGTGAAAGTCGATCAAGCAAGACGTAAAGGAAAAAAAACCTCTTAACGTCCAGACGCCGTATAGCTAGGTCAAGTTTCCCACTGGGTGGCCATCTGCCGCCGCCTCTCACAACAACGACTACCTAAGCTTTGGACTAATCCTTCCACTCCGGGAGGAACTCGCCCCTCCCAAGTAGAAGCTTTACCCTATAAGCATCCTCATTCAGAATCCCGTCTTTGTCCGCAATATACTCCGCCACAGTCTTAGTCGAGTCCACATACCTTCCTGACAGAAAGTCCAACCTTCCGCTCGCCAACACCACCACCATACCTGCCGGCATTTGTGGCGTATCGAAAGGTATGTCTTTAAAGAAGCTTACCACTGCCTTGGCTGACTTCTCTTCACCCGGCACGTCTCTCGACACGTAACTACTCCCCTCACCTCCAGATTTCCCTTCCGCCGCCTCCGCGAAGTCTGTATAGAACCTCGTTCGAATCACACCCGGGTGGAGGCTAAACGTCCGAATTCCAGCATGCTTGTTCTCGTGGTATAAGATTTCTGCCAGCCTACTCACTCCAAGCTTGCCGATCGTATAGCTACCCATGCCCTCGGTGGCATGGGCGCCGGCGCTTGACGTGAAGATCAACGTTCCGCCGTTTGAAGATTGGCGCATGAGCGGCAGGGTGGCGCGCGCCAAGTTGAACGATCCTTGTAGCGAGATGGCAACCGTGTCCCACCAGATGGTCGGTTCAGACTCGTGCACCGGCAGAAACTGTGGAGGACGGCCCGCGTTCATAAAGACGACGTCGATGCGGCCAAATTCATGTGCTGTCCTGTCCACAAATTGCTGCACAGCCGAGAAATCAGTAACATCAAGCGCGGCTGTCCGCACCGCGAGAGCTGGGTTGATGGCGCTGCAGAGGCGACCTGTCTCGTTAACCTCGGTGAGTTCGAGAGCGAAAATGCTCAGGGACGAGATGGCTGTATATGCGAACAGTTCAGCTGTGGCACGGCCGATGCCTCGACCGGCACCGGCAATGATGACATGCTTGTCTCTGAGCGAGTTGGCAAGCTCCTTGTTCTGGCGAGGGTCAGAGTCGAACTCGCAATCGTGCTTTTTGCCCAGAGTCATGTTCGTCCAGGCTTTGATGTAGCAGTTGCCTGAATCGACAAGAGCTTAGGGTCAGGACAGGGCGGAAATATGTATAGCGCCACGGCTTGCGAAGGAATAGATGCGGAAATCCCGAGATGACCAACGTTGGACGAAAACTGCCCGTTGCGTGTGCTCCGAGGTACAGAGCTGTCGGATCTCTCGGCGAATGCAACCCCGCGATCGCTCTATAGCGAACTGCCGTGTCTCGGCTCGGAAGCGTCGGCTTTTTATGAGCGGGGTCTGAGTCTAGTGTTTCGGGAAGAACGGATCCGTTCACTCCGTCTAGATGCCTAATGCACCCACCTTCCGGGAGCCCGGCTTTTCGTCCCATGAAGGTTTTTGAACAGCTATCATCAATTTTGCCAGCTTGCTTGCTCCCTGTGTTTTCGTTTTGCGTCTACTAGGACTTTCATCTTGACATTTAAGCTCAAATCATAAAACCAGTCAATCTATAATGCCTTCCTCGACCACACTGCTTAATCTACTGAAAAGCTAATTGCTCCCTTATGGTCTCCATAGCTTATAATCTATGAATATCATTATATTTCTGTATTAATTTTATAAATAGCAGTACTGCATACACGTCTGATAACTACCGTTTGTGTTCTTTATCAGCTACCACGGTCAGTCCCCTTATTACCTGAACTGTGCTCATATCTTGGAGTGAGTGGCGAGTCTCGCCTCGGTCAGCTGAGTGCCGCGAAATTTCCTGATTGAGACAATAGCCGGAAACACCCCGTGGGCTACTGTACAAGGTTTTAGTACACACTTAGATAGTCGCGTAAAGAGCTACCTGATAGAGCATGTTTCTGGATACCTACCTAGATAGACTGTGTTTATTGATATCACCTGAATTCAAGTCCTGAATCCGGTCGATGTCTAAAGCACCCCTCGTAGACTTAATCTAAACTTCATACATCCCATTCTAGTCTCAAGGGTAGTAATAGTACTGTAGTCCGCAACTTATCTAGAACACGACTGAACAGATAGAGCGGATTTAGCTATAATCACGTGCCTAATAACTACTCGGACTACGAGGGAGTTAAGTCGTGCTTTATGGTAGCTAGAAATACAATTCCCGTGCTACAGTGGCGGCCCGAGACTAGGGATTATATTTTCTTATGTTTAATAATATATGAATAGCCTTAAGAAGGCTTAAATTACTAATGTCAATTGATTAGGTTAAGTGCTATTTACTGATGGTCTTTTTATTAGAATCAGACTTTAATTCGTGGAGAAGTGAGGTAGCTACGACGTGTGAGGCGGTTATAGCAGTGACGCAGTTACAGGTTGTAATGCCCCCTCTATGATGAACAGAGTATGGCCAGGTAACGTGACGGCCCACCCTTTCGCGCTACACCCTTTCGCGCACCTATATCGCGATGCATGTTCATATATACTCTATATATATTCTTCTAACGTACTTGAAAAGTGTCAGACAGTACGTGTATTTGGTCCATTGGTTGAACCAATGTATTCGTGTTGTGTTCGTGTTTTGTTCGTGTTCTCGTTGAGTATCTGCCCCTGAAGGACCCTGCTTTTAATCTTAAAATCCTTGACCTACACAAGACACCCCAGCATATTCAACAGTTCGCTCAACATGTCAGCCTACATCCTTGACGAATGGCACGCACTAGAACCACCTTGTGGCGCCGTCCTCGGCTCTTGAGATGACGTACGCGTTGCGTGGTGGTCGACATGCCTTCTCTCCAACCCACTCAACCAAAGGTGGCGACTTGGTGGGTTTCAACGTCCACACAGCCCTCGCACGGGTGGCTCCGTGGGCGGGGAGCATCCGCAAGTGCCGGCGCCACCGCCCGTCAGATGTGCCCACAAAGTTGACTATAAATGATGTGCATGTTTTGAAAGTGCCAATGACTGTTGGGACAAGAGCGCTTCTGAAAGTAAACCTCCCCATCTGTTTATTATTATTATTATTTACTGTTATTATAGCTATACTACCTAATATACTTTCCAAGATATCTAAAAGCTATGGCTAGCTTCGCCGTAGGTTCTTTAATAGGCGTATCCCCGATATTTATCCTACTGAGATTATTAGCCTAATAACTATGGCTAAGGTCGTAACCGCTATTAAGATAGTATATAAGCGTGGCTAGAAGATTAGCGTCTACTCCGGCGGGTACTTATGTCAAGCGGGATCCTGTATAATAGCTCTGAGGGTGGTCACGTGAGACCTGTGGCTAGCTAATCTCCGGCCACGCGGCTACGCTAGTCCTAATCCAGAAGGCCACATCGCGGCCCAGAAGGGAAAGAGAGAATAGCCTTAGGGATAATAATAATAAGTAATTATAATAGATTAAAGGATAAGCCTATAATTAAATAATTAAGAGTCTTATATACTAATTAAAGAGAATTAATTAAGGAGTAAACTAAAGAGCTTTTACTAAGTAATCCCTAAATAATAATAATAAATATAAATATTAAGCTAGCCTCTAATAATAACTAAGTAGCCTAATATAATATCCTTAAGGTAAAGATAAAGAACTAAGACTTATAGGATTATATTAACCTATTAGCTAAGAATAAGCCGATTTTTATATTAACCTCTCTAGTAAAGTTAGAGGTATAAAGCTTAAAGAAAAGAGGACTTAGAATAAGGTTATAAGAGGATAATAAGATATTATTAATATAAGGCTTAAGTAATACCCTCTAGGAAGAAAATATTATCCTTAGAGATAATATTAATAAAAGCCTAAGAGCTAAGGCTATCTTTAACCTTACGGCAGGCTAATTATAAACCTATAGCTCTCTTTAGATTCTCTATAAGTACTTCTACTTAGAGTATATAGACCTAAAAAAGAGAATTACTAAGATATAAGACTAAGTCCTAAAGATAATTAATAAGCCTTTTATTTATTATTATTACTTAGTAAATAATACTTTTAATTAATAAATTAAGTCCTTATATAAGGAATTCTTATTTATAGTAATAAAATAAAAGAAAAAAATAAAGAAAGAATATAAGAATTACTTAGCTAAGGCTTATTAAGGCTACTTAAATATAATTTAGTCTATTAATAAGTAAATTATTAATTAATATAATTTAATTAATAAGGTAAAGGATAGAAATTTCTAAGAAGCTAAGGAAATAAATTAATAATTCTTAGATCTCCTTAAAGTATTTTATTTATCTCTCCTCAAGTCTTAGATCCTTACCTATAATATTATAAAATAAAATTATATAAGGGAGAATACCCTTATAATAGCCCTTATAATTATAGATATAAAGATAGCCCTAAGTAACCTTTAAGAACCTCTAAGGAAAGGAAAAATTAGGTATAGAGCCTTCTTAGCGGCTAATAGAGAATAATTAAAGGATAAAGAGGAGCCCTAATAAAAAAAGGGCTAGCTTAAAGTAATACTAAAGGGGAGGAAAAGAATTAAAGACGCTAGAGATATAAGGAAGTAATTAATATACCTAGCCTATAATAGCCCTTACCTATTAAAGAATTATTATAGTATTTTCTTAGAGAAGAGGTATTAAGGTTATATATTAAATACTATTAGGGAAGAGGTAATAAGAAAGAAGATAATCCTTAATATTAATAGCCTAGCTAATAAAATATAGAAAATTAAGATAAAAGGATTAGCTTAACTAAGATTAATTAGCTCTAGTAATTACTTAGCTACTCTTATAACTACTAATTATTATCCCCTCTAGGATTATATCTTATTAGACTTAGGGGCTATCTTATATATCTTTAGGGATACCTTAAGACTTAGGAACCTAAGGGTAGCCTAGGTAGGCAACTTCTTTTAATTAGGGATTAACTAGGTGCCTATTAATAAGTATATAAAGGCTATAATTATATTAAGAATAGCCAAAGGGGCAAAGAAGAGGTTATAGCTCTAAGATATAGCCTATTGCCTTAGCCTTATAATAAACCTAGTATCTTTCTTAAAGCTATAAAAATAAGGCTTTTAGTAGGATATAAAGCTAAGAAGGAATTACTTAAGGAGAGTAAATAAAAATTACCTAAGAGAGATTAAGGAGATTTAAGGATAATAAGTTCTTAAATATAGAGATAAGCTAGTATAAGGCTAAGTAGCTCTAATAAGGCTAATAGCTAATTAGGCGCTAAAACCCTTTTATTAAAATCCCCTTAAAAGAGGACTTATAGATATATAAGTTATATAATATAAAGGCTACTAAGAGGAGATTCTCTTATATAGTATAAAAGGCTTAGATACCTAGGGCTAGATATCCTCTATTGCCTTATTATAGCCTTAAGGGGTATAAGGCTATAAATAAATACTCTATAGAGGCTAGAGAGGATTATTATTATTAATTATAATACTTATAATATAGAGAAGGCATAGAGGATAATCTAGAAGACCCTATAGGAATTAATTAGGGAGGTAAGCCTAAGAGAATATATAATATTAGATTTCTATTTAATAATTTAAGGCTATAATAGCTATATATCTATTTAGATTTATATTAATAAGGCATTAGGCTATTTATAGGACTATTATATATTAGATTACTATATAGAGATTATATTCTTAGTAATAAAAGAATTTCTTAAGTTCTTAGAGATATAATATATACTTATAATAAAGGTATTTAAGTATAATAATAAGATTATAGAGATATACCCCTAAGTAATAGCTTACCTCTAAGAGAGAGGTATTAAATATAAACCCTTAGCCCCTAATATATAGGCATAGAATAAAAAAGCTAAGAAGGTTAATATAATTATTATCTAAAAGGGCAAAATATTAAAAGTAAGAGCTAAGCTCTTAGAGTACTTATAGCTAGAAATAATAAAAGTAGCTATATATTTATATAATTATATATTATTAATATAAAAAGGAAAGAAATTATTTTATAAGATCTTTTACTTATAATATTATATTATTAAAATAATAAAGCTAGACCTTTTTTATCTCTAAGCTTTTAGATATAAGGCTTATGCCCTTATTATTAATACCTAGCTATAAAGAAATCGCCTATAAAGGC